TGTATGGTCTCACACTGACCACTAGATACACTGGCTCTTGGGTCTCTAAGGAGATGCAAAGTGAGCCACTGCCTGGGGGTACCCAACAGGAGCTACAGAGAGATCTTCAGATTCTTTCTCTTTGTGTCGGGTTTGGAAGTGCCCAGATGAGGTCCAGCTGTGAAGCAAGGCAGGCTGCTGTTGTTGCCGGTTCTTGGAATTTTTTTTGATAACTTTGGAGGTCCCTGACCAGGCTGCAGATAGCTTGAAAGGTTTTAGGCTGAGAATGGACAGGCCTTTCATAAGCAAAAGCCACTGCGCACAGCTTGGGTGTGGTATTAAATTGGGTAGGGTGGGGTCTCAGTGAATCTTCAGGCTGGAGCAGACAGCAATGGCTGCCAATCAGCCCTGTACCAGGGAGATCCCAGCAAAGGAACCATGACCGCTGCGAGCACCTCTTTCTGGAAGAAAGCTGCCTCCGTGTTCCTGCCCCAATGCCAGATAGTCCAGTTTTTTTGTTATATATCTGTGTCCCCCTGAGTCTCACAAGGCACTAGAGCTCAGAGCAATCGGAAGCTTGTATCTCCCTCCCAATTAAAAAAACGGCACACCCGGGTACCAGCCCATTCCACGCCTCCACCCCTCCTACCAGTCTCAATGCACTTTCTTCTTTACGTCTCTAGTTGTACTTCCACTCAGCCAGCTTTCTGGCCATTCTGGATGATAATTGTTCTATATTTTAGTTGTAATTTTGATGTGGCTGTAGGAGGCAGCAGATTACAGGTGTTTACCTATTCTGCCATCTTGGTGCCTCTGACCCAGGCAAATTCTTTGATGTTGAAGATGTCTTTCATTAATGATTCTACTGTATTTTTTGATTCGTATATTCTGTTTTTCAATCCCCCCCCTCACGGTGGAATTTGTAAAATACTTTCTCGTATTTTCATTTTGGTTCTATAATATTTCGGTGATATTATATAGCTGTCTTTTTTTTTTTTCCTTTTCGGCTTTAATATATGTAGTTCCCTTCCTTTTTTTACAATATATTTTTATTGATTTCTGAAACAAAGCGAGGGGGAGAGAGATAGAAACATGAATGATGAGTGAGAATTATTGATTGGCTGCCTCCAGCATGACCCCACATTGGGTAACAAGCCTTTAACCCAGCATGTATCCTTGACTGGATTTGTACCAGGGACCCTTCAGCCCACAGGCCGACACTCTATCCACTGAGCCAAACTTACTCAGGTAATTTACACCTTTTGTACCGCATAGAAATCTCTAAGACATATGCCAGGGACGGCACGTTTTTGGGCAAACTGCACATTATTTAAATCATCATAACTACAGATCATAATGCACTTTAGGTGTTGTTTTTCAATAATTATAACATTTTTATTTACAAAAACAATTAAACAATTAAAGTTCCTAGTACTTTTTTAACGTATGATACTGCGTAAAACATTTTCTGAAAGCGCCAGGAACTTGAAGACGAAGACTATTCGAATGACCAAAATACAATGTAATTGCAATGCTTTATGGGTTCGTGCAATTATATAGATTTTCTTAGATTGACCTGCAAGGTTTCCACCAATGAGATTGCTTCATTTGATGTGGACAAGACAGTGTGTTGACATCTAAGGTCCATAACAGATGGCGCGTGGAAAATGAGAAAACTCGTGAGCGGTCCTTAACAGATGGCGTGAGAAAGCTCGTGAGCGATACGAAAGGTGTTAATATCTTTCTATTGATGTAGTCCCAGTTTGTTTTTCTGATGGTACATTTTTTCTGATTCTATGCATGACTTGATATGTTTTGTTGAGATTCTGGAATTGTAAACAACTAAGCTTTTGAACATCCTTTCTATAGGAGGAAACAAATAATAACCATCTGTGGTACAAATTCTACTTTCATTGAACACTGTTTTGATTCCTGTATTCTTCGTTCCATTGTCTGTTTAATTTCACAGTTGAAATGTTCTCTGTGTCTTTCTCAGACCCAAGGTATCTTTTCAGACTTGATACACATCTTCAATACTGCACTCTTTGTGGTGCTCGAACAATTTATCATTGTCTCTTTATAGCAGCCACAACAGGGCACTCACTGTGTACTGCCATTTCATTCGCACTCTGTATCATGCACAACAGACACTTGTTCTTGAAGATGCTTCAAAAGAGCGAGATTGCCGAAATCAGTTTGGCTCACTGGATAGAGCGTCGGCCTGCGGACTGAAAGGTCCCAGGTTCGATTCCGGTCAAGGGCATGTACCTGGGTTGCGGGCACATCCCTAGTAGGAGATATGCAGGAGGCAGCTGATCGATGTTTCTTTCTCATCGATGTTTCTATCTCTCACCCTCCCTCTCTGTAAAAAATCAATAAAATATATTTAAAAAAAAAAAAAAACAAAAAAGTGAGATCAGAACAATTTATCATTGTCTCTTTATAGCAGCCACAACAGGGCACTCACTGTGTACTGCCATTTCATTCGCACTCTGTATCATGCACAACAGACACTTGTTCTTGAAGATGCTTCAAAAGAGCGAGATTGCCGAAATCAGTTTGGCTCACTGGATAGAGCGTCGGCCTGCGGACTGAAAGGTCCCAGGTTCGATTCCGGTCAAGGGCATGTACCTGGGTTGCGGGCACATCCCTAGTAGGAGATATGCAGGAGGCAGCTGATCGATGTTTCTTTCTCATCGATGTTTCTATCTCTCCCCCTCCCTCTCTGTAAAAAATCAATAAAATATATTTAAAAAAAAAAAGACAAAAGAGTGAGATCATTGAACGTGCACTTCCCTCATCTCTATCTCCAGTAAAGAAACTGGGAATTGGAAGTGTTGTTATATTATTGCCATTGTGTGACAGGGGGTTTGAGCAGGTATCATGGGCAGATGTAAGCAACTCTTTGCCCCTATTTGATGTGAGTTTTCTTCCTTGTACCTATCTT